ACCATGGCTATTTAACCAATTTAAAATCTTTTTTCGTTTTTTCAAAGTCCTCAAGCCTCTGACATTTAATGACATCAGATCACACTTACCTACCATCATAAGTCAATTTCAAGTCGGATATTTTAAAGAAATAAATTATGGAAAATAAGTCTTATTATGGCCAGGTCGTAAAATACATATTTTTCTTGACTACAAAAGACTTGGGCTTCTAAACACATGATCTTACGTAACCAACATGACTTACACAACATTTTTACATCACAAAAAACTACAATTAACACAATACTTTCATATACAATACAAAGAACACTCACACATAAAKCCAACTCCATTGGGACTGCAAAGAAAATCCAGGTTTTGAGCCTAATGTAAGACAGTATAAACAATAATAGATTCCTTTAAAAGATATGACTACTAAATGAAAAAGGAGAATGCATGATATGATACTACCTAATATTCTCTAACAGTATATACGAGAGGAAAAAAAAGAAAGAAATACTTGAATACGAGATGTATATATATAATGTACTATCTATTTAAGCTTAACTAAAAGGCTAAAAAGTAATTTATGTATCATGAAGGAAAAACATTTATCAAAATTTTTAATTGCGCTCTACAGAAGTCTAAGTCAATTAACCAATACCTCAACTGTAAAGAACTTCCAAATCGGCCTGTTTGGTTACCATGAAAGACTTTCCGCCTCTCTCTCTCTTCACAAAAATTTTACCGTCCTTTGTTGAGACGTTGAACCACTCATACTGCTTCGCTCTTTTCCGGATTTCTGCAAACAACCTTTTTCTTTCATGCGTGAGATGCTCGWTGATATATATTTTCTCTGCTCCATTGACTTTGTCGCTTGRCTCGAAATTTTTCAACTTTTTCCTTGCTTCATACATAGCTTTCTTGTCGTCGTAGGTTTTAAACTTGACAAGAATTGGTCTAGGGCTTAATTTGGAACGTTGTCTATGCACAATGTCAATATCATTTGATTCCACATCCACTTGTAATCCTTTTGCTATCTCTTCTATAATTTCTTCTAGGTCTTCATCCTGTTCTTCGGGTATTCCATGGAATTCTAAGTTATATTTCCTCTGATATTGGTTGATTTCGTCAATGCTCTCATCTTGGGAGTTGCATCGTAGGTTAAGATCTGCTATTTTTACTTGCATCTCATTTGTTTGGGCAATTTGTTTCTTGAGCTCGTCTCGTAGTTTTGTATTCTCTTCTTTAAATTCTTCTATGACTTCAGCTTGAAATGACGAAGCTTTCTTGATTTCTTCCAATTCTTTTCTAAAGATTGCACTTTCCTTTTTTATTTCATCCGTATTTTCTTGAACTTTTCTAAGCATTTCATAAATCATTTTTAGCGTTGGCATTTGTTCGTCCTCGTGGTTTTCGTCCTCCATCTTGCACGTTTTACGTATTGGAGACGGTTCTTGCGATGAAACTGAAGAGCACGTTTCTCTTTGTCTCCTTTTACTCATCTAATACTTTTTAGGGTGAAAAGTGATATCTTTTAACGAATGTATTTACCATTTAGGCTCAAAAAACCTGGAAATTCGCGGAGCTCTCTTTACATACGTCCGCCCGAGACCATGACCCAGTCCCAGGTTATTTCTTTCTCATTTTCACGACTCACCGCTAATCTTTTAGCCTTTTCACGTGACGTCATTATACCATCATTATGACGTCATTAAACCGGACATGACGTCAGATATATTGGATTCATAATCAATAATTTTCTAGGGTTTGACGAACTTTTCTCCAATTTTATTAAAACAGTACATTCTATAGCTTCTTGAACCAATGGGATTGGACATTGCATATAATCATAATTTATGTCTGAAATGTTTAAACAAATCAGATCAAATGAATGCTTCATTGTGTACTTTAGCTCTGTTAGCCTGGGCTAAATATGACAACAACCACAATTTGGATAAAAATTGGCTATGAGTAAAATCACATAGCCGCTTTAATAAGTATAATAATGAATACATAAATGAGAAAAATTCTCTACAATAAATAAATAAAATGTTGCCCAGCTAAGGTGAGGGCATAGAAACGTTACAGGCCTTGGAACAAGGGCAGCCCCACCCAAGTACACAATGAACTACTCAACCTATACAAAAATTATTTATAAAAATTTCACCATCATTGCCCTTGCTAACCATGGACAAATAAAAACCAAATGGTTACACAAAGGTATTACTGCCCCTGCAAGTAAACCTTTCTGCCACCAAAACTGAACCTTTACCATTAAACTGAATGCAATGAATTGATTCTTATATATTTCTTAAACGCTTCTGATTTYCATCTACCCAGCAACCTTATTTTTGCATCTGATAATCCTTGCTGTGCAGCATAGGTAGCTGCACCAATTCTAAAACTGTGTCCCTTGTACCTCGTAGAGTCAAGGTTGCAAATTTTTACGCTTAAACCTAGCATTTTTGAAAAATGTGCACGTGAAATAGGTTTACCATTGCCATCAATAAAGAATGGACCTTTCTGTCTACCTCTAAGACTTATATAATTAACCAAAGCCTCTATTGGACAAATAATCTGATTTTTTGCAACAATCAGTGAAAAAGTGGGTTGATTATAATTATGTTTATAGTCCTTAAAAACTATTTCAAAAGAAATGAGTTTCCCTTCTTTAGAAATAATACTCTCAACTTGACTAATATCAAAGACTGGGCTAGAACCTTTTCTTGAGTCTACAGTAATTTCTCCAATTCTCAAAAATGCAAAAAATGCTAAGCAACACATAGCACAAAAAAGAGATTTCTCGTAATTTGAAGAAATAACCTTATCGCTATTCTTTACAATTTTCGACAATATAGGAAGGGTTATAGGTAACCTTGAATCTAAAGTACTTCCTAACTTACTATATYCCTTAAGCATCTCTGCAATGTAAAAAGTCTTTGATGGKTCTGGTAAACCTGCTAACTTATGGCAATACCCTAAAGCTGATATATAAGTATTCACTGTAGATGGTGCATAAGAATTACCAAGTAAATATGCAATAAACAAAGCTAAAGTTGCTGAATATATTGGAAATGTGCAATACATAGATTCCAAAACACCATAATGAAATTGATTATAAAGCTTCCATGCTCTCTTGTAAGTAGGCACAGATGATTTTTGCAAACTCGCTGACAACAATTTATAAACTAAAGGTGCCAATTCAATGGAAGTAGGTCTTGAGGTATTGCTGTGGGGGCTGTGTYGAAATCCGATCCCGCTAGTTGATGAAAACGCTGAATCTGCAAACGAGATAAACAATCCGCAAGAACATTTCTAACACCTGGTACATGTTCTGACCTAAACAAAATGTTATACTTCAAACATACAGATACAAGCTTCCGCACAAAAATCATGAGTATCTTATCCTTGCATGTACACTTATTAATAACATGCGTTAATGCTTCATTATCGGTAAAGAGCACAATGCAACGATTTCGCATCTTATTCCCCCACAACARAAGACCTAATACAATAGGATAAATTTCCAATATGGCAATATTTTTGTATTTCCAATCTTCAGGCCACTCCCCATAACACCAATGTGTACCAAAMATTGCACCAAAACCTAACGATCCTGCCGAGTCAGTATATAGATTCAAAGTAAAGCCATTTTCCCATCTTTCCTTTAGGAACAAAGACTTTCCATTATAATCCTTCAARAAYTGACTCCATACACCCAWATCTTCTTTTGCTTCTCTTGTTAGCCTAATGAAATGCTTTGGGTGTGTAATCCCGATTGTTAAATTTATCAAACGCCGCAAAAAAGCCCGACCAGGTACTACTACAGAGCATGCAAAGTTCAATTTACCAATAAGAGATTGCAGCTCTTTTAAAGTTACTTTCTTTCTGTTTAAAAACTCTGTAATCATTTCTGAACAAGAGCTAAGCTTATCTTTTGGCAAACAAGCTAATGACTTCTCTGTATCTAACTCTATTCCTACAAAACTAAGAACTGTATTAGGTACTACGGTCTTTTCTGGTGCCATAGGTATACCTAAATATTTACATAAAGCAAGAAATCTATTCAGACTATTCTTACAAAGCTCTAGTGTTGGCTCACAAATGAAGTAGTCATCTAACACACGTATAATATTTGAGATATTCAAAACCTTCTTAGCAATCCACTCAACAGAGGTACTAAACATTTCAAATGTTCTACAAGAACTAGAACATCCYATGGGCATGCATTTATCATAATAATAGAAATTGTTCCATTTTATCCCTAAAAGATGATAATCGCCAGGATGAATTGGTATTATTCTAAATGCATGYTTAATATCGGTCTTAGCTAGATAGCATCCTACACCACATTTCTTAATACATCTTATTGCATCCTCTATTTTAGAATAATGCACTTTAGAGTCCTCTTCACTAATTCCATCATTAACTGATTTACCCCCAGGGTATGACAAGTGATCAATCATTCTGTATTCTCCTTCAACTTTTTTAGGCACTATGCCTAAAGGTGAAACTTTAAATCGCTATTGGCATCTAATTATTTTTTCAACTTTTCATCAACAACARTAGGCATTTGAACAGCCGACAACAAATTCTGTGATTCTGGTATATCATATTCATCTACTGAAAATATTCTAAAACCAGTTTTAAAACCTTCAATTAATGTTTCCTTTAAAACGACATCATAACGAAAAAGCAAAGGTGCTAATCTATCTACCCYTACTGGTGTTGGTAGTAACTGATGTTGCCTTAGATTCTGTTTCTCCTCTTCCTGCACCTTGGCCACGAAAATTGCAKTTACTCATAGGATGTTTCTGACTACACTTAGGGCATGCATGGCTATATCTACAACCTGGACAAAATTTCCCCCTATGGTATTTTCTACAATAACCATTAKGAATTTCATTTCTTTCATAATTGGCTTGTAAAAATTTGGAATTGCCATTAGATCTCATTGGAGCCTGAAATCCCGGTTGAGCCTTAATCCACAATTCTGAATGAACAGCACCCCATGGAAATTCTTGAGGGGCTTTTTGCCTTAAAAATCTGAAATTTTAAAAATCTTAAAACTTCCAATTGAAACCTCTGGAAGCTAAATCCTTTATCGTGCTACAATACTTCATTAATGCAGCAGTTTCCTGATTATTTTTCTGAATATATTTCCACAAAAATTTGAAATGCTGCCATCCACATGTCAATATTTGAAATAATCTTGTTTTTCAATTTTGGCTCCATGACAAATGATGAACCTTGCCCATCTTTCGAATCACTCAAACACAGCTGATATGCAATGTTACTATCATTATGTTTCGTTAGTAATGCTCCMAAATCCACATATTCATTTGAGAGGATCTTAGCCCTCAACTTATCAGACACCTGAACCCCTAATGGGACATCAGCTGATAAAAAAGATGATCTTGGTTCATCSTTAGTCTCATTTATAACTATTGGTACCGATGCTGACTCATCAACTTGAGTTAGGCTATCAAGGACAGCAGACACAGACCCCTGTACCGCATCCACTGCCCCCGATTCTACCTGCATTTCAGAATTGATGGGTTATTTTATTATCTCTTTGCTTGATCTGCTCATCTTTCTTTGACTTTTCRTCCATTGCCAATAAAATTCTCTCCGTCACCTTACCAACCAGTTCCTCCATCTGATCCGCACTCAACAGCTCCTTTCTTGCTGGAACTTGTGCAGTAGTGTCAGTTAGGTGCTTCCTTTTTCTTAAGCTTCTCCTTGATGCCATAATAAAGTCTGAAAAAAAAATTATAAACAGCCCCAATAACAGTCCAAATTAAGATCAGTCAACTATGAGACCGTTAGCTGAAAATTTAGAAGAGATAACTTGGCAGAAAGGTCAAACTAACGCCGCTATATCGTTATCTCCTAAATCTTCATTTACCAACTACTCATTGGTTGGTAAATACACCTTCTAACAACTCATTGGTCAGAAGGAAAAAACAATCCAACAACGCATTGGTTGGAATTGCAAAAATGAATATAGACCAACATCTCATTGGTTGGGAATTAAATATAATCCAATAACTCATTGGTTGGAAAAAAATAATAAATGAAATCCAACAACTCAATGGTTGGAAAAATAAGTAAAATCCAACAACTCATTGGTTGGAAAAATAAATAAAATCCAATACCTCATTGGCTAGGAAAATAAATAAAATCCAACAACTCATTGGTTGGAAAAATAAATAAAATCCAACAACTCATTGATTGGAAAAATAAATAAAATCCAACAACTCATTGGTTGTGAAACTAAATAAAATCCGACAACTCATTGGTTGGAAAAATAAATAAAATCCAACAACTCATTGGTTGGAATAATAAATAAAAACCAACAACTCATAGATTGGAATCATAAATAAAATCCAGCAACTCATCGCTGGAATTAATAATTAGGTTA